TCATACATGCTTCAGCTGGACCTTACGCAGATGAGATATTTACATGCTGATAATTCTAAGAAAAGAACTGAAAGTTGGTTGTTTTTTTTTCTTCTCTCATTTTGTTTTTGTGACAATCGTTTGAAACAATCATTTCCTTTGGATTCTGACAAACGAAGAAACGACATCCAGATGTTTTACCTGCTCCCCCTTCAACTCTTTGCACGTTGCTGTGACTCAGTCTCTATGAAAGGAAGTAGAATTTTTTTTTCCTCTATTGCTTTCTTTGTGGATAGTCACCTTGGAGATCTCGAATTACGGATGATCTTATTCTGAATAAAGAAATATTGTCTCTTATTTAATAGCTTGGCGGTCGCAAGGTTATCGGGTGGAGGGTAGTCGGACAGAAACCCTAAGTAGAGTTTCTGTTTTAAATTTAACTTGATTTCCTTCTTTGGACTCCATTGCCAAGCAGCCTGGACGTTTTTTTCTGCTTCCTTTTTTCACCACAAGACAAAAACATAGAACCATGGGAGATACGTATTACAGATTGAATAATGTTGTGTAGTGGGTGAATGTGTGTATATACAGTGCGTGTACAGTCTTTGTGTATATACTGGATGTATGGGTCTATATTATATGGGTGTGTACATACAATTTGTTTGTATATGCATTGTACAGAATGTATTTTTTCTCTGTCTCCTTTTTCCCCCGTCCCCATTCCGTTTTCTTTGTGAATACGTGTGAGAAACCACACAACAGAACTTTTTTTGGAAAAATGAAGAGATTCACATAGGCAACTTCGAGGCAGGTGTCTTTGGAAGCACTTTTTTGCACAGACTTAACATACGGAGTCTGATACCTATGATGCATTACCCTTAAGCTGCCACACACTTCGCCAACCTCGAGCTTGCACACATTTTCTCATTGATTGAGGCATTTTGTAATAGTTTCTAGGTGACGAAGCAATGTTTGTATATATCTATATGATCTATATATGGAATATAATAATATTTCCAGTTATCTCTCATCTTCATGGCTATTTATCCTTCCAGCTTGTATTACTCTTGTTGCTTTCCGTTTCAGTGCTCCTATATTTCATTGCGGTGGTGTGTGTTGGCTGGGGTTGAGCTTCAGACGGAGTCATTTATAAGGTCAACGCCTCGAGAAATTTACCAAACTCTGTCCAGTTTTATTCTATTAACCTTTTATATACCTGACACTTTTTTCCCCTTCACTTTTTTTCTTGCCAAGCAAAATCTTCCATGCAGAAACCATTTATTTATCCTCAGAAATGGATGGAGTTCCCATGATGTGCCTCCTTCTAATAAATATTCATTTGACCTTTGCCAGCCATAAGCAAACCATATCCATGCTCCTTGACAAGCCATAAGCCCCACCCCTAAAATGATGTTTTTGAAAAGGGCAGACATTTGGGAATTTAATTTTGTTTTTGTATATATTAATGGAAAGAGTGATACTTTGGAGTGTGTTGCTAATGTTTATGAATTTGTTATGAATGTTGATATTCTGGTTATTGAATTATAATTATTATTAATGTAATAATGATTCTGATTGCTACTCTCATTTCATCCTTTAGTTTATTCAATGCTGTTGAGAACAATGCATTAATTTCTTTGTTCTGTTTTTTTTTTTGAATAAGCAGGAATTTATATTTTTGGGTGGGTGAATTATAGAGATTAAATTAATAAGATGAATTAAAAATATAAATTCTTATCATAATATGCCTACAAAGTGTTGTATTGTCTATCTATCTATCTATCTATCTATCTATCTTTGCTGTTGAAACAAAACCTCTCATATTTTTTACATTATTTGAAAATACCCGCTATATTGTATCAACATTTCATGATGAACGGGGCAATAGAAATGGTCCAAAATGAAATAGAATAAAATCTTATTACATTAACTCATATTGAGAGTTAAAACTTTCTTCTTTTAAGCTACTTCTTTGGAGACACAGGGTTTTATTCCAACAGCAACGATCTACCTGTCAAGCAAACTGGCTAATTCTTCTGTCATTTATCATTACAAAAGTAAATATTGTTCTTTATTCCAACCTCACAAATTAACATGTCCCTTAGTTCAATACATAGTACCTTATTTTGTCTAGCTACAGAGTGACATTAAGAAGCCTAGGCTAGGCTAGTCATCTTATAGGGTGCCAGCTATTTGAGCTAGAACCACCATTAGAACTGTGATTAATTGTGATTTTATTGTGTTTTTGCTTAATTTATGCCACTCTAAAGTATCTAATTTGGCTAATTAGCTATGTTGTTCGCCAGGTAGAGTTAGCTCAACTTACTGGCTGATATAAAACCATATACTGCACTCACAGAAACGTCTGCATTTACACAGCATAATTTTTCAAATTGAGCAAAGCTTAATTTTTACTGTAAAGTGTGAATATATGAGCAAAAATTCTTCCAAATGCTAATAGCATTAGTGTTAACTTGGCAAACTCTCTACAAAGTAATAATTTGAAAAATAGTTATCAACAACATCCATATTTATCTGTATTTAATTTCTGGTTTACTTATTGGTGGTATAGTGCTTATTGACTTTATCCTCAAGAATTTGCTAAATTGCTGTAGGCCTCAGCTGTAAGTGTTGGCAAAGACAGTAGAACAAACAAAGACAGGAGAACAAACAAAGACAGGAGAGCACCCTCGATTACTTGAAAAGGCACCAAAGACTGTAAAACTGGTTAACTTTGGTGTTGCGTTGATGGCCAGTGGAAAAAGCACAGTTTCAGTTTTCTGGTGCCAAAGATTACGATGTGAAGAAATGATTAAATGAATTGTAATTAAATGAGTAATTGGAATGAATCGCTCAACTCTGTGAACTGAAAAAGCCAACTTTGTCCCACAGAGACTTTGTCCCACCTGTCTTTGTGGGACATTTTTATTTACTTCATTACTGTGGGTAAAAATAATGAAATGTATATAATTAACTCAGTTATACCCAGGGTGTGAAATACCCCCTGGTATTTGGGGGTCTCATGTTGGCTGGCTACTCCAGCATTTATTGGCTGCTAACTCACTCGCCATAGCAGCACTGATGCTAGCTTCTTCTTTTTTTGGAAATGCTCTTTTCTATTTTCTATTTCGGTTGGTAATGATGTCTTCTACACATTAATTGAGATCTTTTTGGTCTTCGGTTTAAGAAATGAGAAACAGTTCACTTTTCCCCTAGTTTCTTGGGAAATTGGGCAAGTTGCTATGCTATGAAGAACCAACTGGGTAAACCAGTTTGCTACCGCGTCACACTGGGGCAGAGGCAAATTGTGATTTTGAGATATTTAGGGGGTCCAAAAGGTTAATTAGGGAGTCCTGGACCCTCCAGGACCCCCTGTGCTTTGCACCTTGGTTATACCTTAGCCAAAAAAAAAAAATCGATTTTTCTGTTTCAGAAAAGAACCAGCCAAACGCCCCCAAGAGTGTCACACATTTTCATGTATCCCAACATCATGGGGACACAGACATACAGTGGCCCTAAAATGTATTTGGACATTTTAATCATTGGTAACCTTTAACAAGCATCTTTAGGATACTTCTTAAAATGTTCAACAACATGATATTTGTTTCAGAGAAAAAAATTTTAGCGCAACATCAACATGACAGGCTTTTTGTGTGGAGAATTCCAGCCAGATTGCACTGAGACTACTGAAAAGCACAGAGGAGGAAACATCAAAGGTCTGGGGCTGCTTTTCTGGCAGTGGTGTTGGTAAGATTGTGTTCATTGATGGATCATGAATCTAGACATATAAAGAAAACTTTTGGATGCATCCCTGCTAAAAAAAAACAAAAAAAAACAGCAAAGTTCAGCATAACTTCGTTCCACAGAGAAAATGCACCTGTCTAGTAAAAATAATCAAATGTATATAATTAACTCTGTTATACCCAGTGTGTGTGTAATACCCCTTGGTATTTGGGGGGTCCCGTGTACTGGTTACTTCAGGATTTACTGGCTGCTGTTTTGGATGTTGACCATGTTGCATGACCAGCTAAACCAGCACCAGACTAAATCAGCCTAGACCAGAATGGATTGCATGCTGGTCTATGCTGTAATGGTTTTATATACCACCAAAAAAGGGTTCTCCTATTGTTATGATGTCAAGCTTGTCACAATAGATGAACCCTTTTTGGTGCTATTTTCAAAAAGGTATAGAACAATAAACAGTTACATTCTCCGTCAATCTGAACAACCATTTAACCATGCAATGAACCATTTAAGCATGAAATCGTTAGAACTCATGGTTATAAACTGAATCATTGCTTTTACTAAAGAATGCTTGAGGCACCATTTTTAAGTGTGTATAACACTAATGTCCACATACTTCTTGGGGCCACTGTAGGGTTCCCACAAAGAGCTGAACACACTCTCACAGACACTGTTCGGTCTTGGTGGCCTATTTTCATTGCCTTCAGTGTTACTGTCTTTTCCTACGGAGCCCTGATGATGACATCCTGTATAAATAAAAATAATGCGTGGCCACGCCTTATTAAGGCGTGGGAACGAGATCCTAACACATGGCCATGACTTAGTAAGGCATGGGAATGAGTTGATTAAGTCGTGGCCATGACTTAGTAAGGCATGGGAATGAGTTGATTAAGTCGTGGCCATGACTTAGTAAGGCGTGGGAACGAGATCACAGCTTACTAAGTCATGGCCACGCATTAGGATCTCGTTCCCACGCTTTACGAAGTCGTGGCCACGACTTAATCATCTCATTTCCATGCATTACTAAGTCGTGGCCACGCATTATTTTTATTTATACAGGATGTCACCAGGCTCCGTACTTTTCTGATCTGTGAGTAACGCTATTCCTTCACTTAACCCAACTCTGAACCGCGATGAGCCGCCAAGCAGCCAGAGGTCCCCATAACGTCATTTTCCTGTCAGCTTGCGGCCGCTGGGTCCCCACAAAGAGCTGAACAAACTCTCACACACGCGCGCACGCGAACACGCGCGCGCTCTCGCGATACTGGAGCGGTCGCTGTGGAAAAATGGCCGCTCTCGGAACGAGTCCTGGATCGGGGAACAACATTAAAGCGAGTCCGGGGCGACACAGCTGACCTACGGCGAACCTGCTTCGGCCCGGCCCGTCCTCTCCAACTCTCCCCCGAGCGGATGGGTGAAGAGGCCCGAACCAAGGGGCGCAAGGAAGCACAGCGAGTCCGTTTAAGAGAGCGGAGGAAGCGGGACGCTAGCTAGGAAGCTAACGTTAGCTTAACGTTAGCTTGCTAGCTAGCTAACCTAACCGAACCTAGACCAGCTAAAGCCCGAACGGTTTGGGTTTTTCGTGGGCAGGCAGGCGGTCATTTTGCGCTAATAAAGCGAGCCGAGACAGCTGGAGCTTTATTACTGCTAGCATGAGCGGACCCGGGCAAGACAGCGAGCCAGAGGCTAAAGTCCTCCACATTAAGCGGCTGTACAGGTGAGTCAACAGGCCGACACACTGAAGTTAGCTAGCTAAAACACTGGGCAGTCATATGGGCGATGCTTGCTAGGCTGCTAACATTCATGTCAAACAATACCTGTGAAAACAGTGTTGCTAGCCCGCTGTCTGAATGGACTGTGTCGGAGGGTTAGGGTTCTTCTCCTGCCTCCAAAGACCATTTGGATTAAAACCTGCCCATTGCGTCCTATAGAGAATTGGCTTAAAAGGAGAACTACACCAATGTTTTTAAAGTTTCACATAATTAAATGCTTAAGATGTCATTCAGAACTGGTTCGGAGTGGTTTGCTGTGAAATGCTCCGTTCTACAGAAACTTGAAGTCATAAGTGTTCACAGTGGTGGTGATCGGATCCAGATGTCCACCTGTAAAAGCTCCCTCACAGGAAGTTATTGCATGAAATGGTTATAAACACTCAGCTGATGTCTGAGACGTTGCTTTACGGTAGCTTTGGGATAAAGCTTTGGCCTAAAATGTCTTGTTAACCCATTCATGCAGGACGTTGTCAGACAAAATAGTCCCTAAAATGTATTATTTCAGATTTTCCACTATTGTACTATTGTTAATATCACATATAAACACTCAGAAGACGTGTAGGTTCACTGTTAATAAAATGGCTATATGTTGACATGGTGACTCCTGGTTCCTATCACCACCACTGTAAAGAAATCTTAAGTCTAACTTTCTCTACAACGGACCATTTCTTATCAAACCACTATTAAGGACATTGTTTACATCGCAACGACGTAATTGAAAAATTGGTGCAGTTTCTCTTAAAGGGGTTACCTTTACAGACCACTAGTTTCATATCCAACACCTTTTAGATCCCAGTAGGAAGCCATCAAATTCCTCTAGAGTCACTCATAGGCCATCTGCGAAAGCATTAGGATCCTTTACGTTGTGATATCAAACCATCAAGAAAAGCTAAAACACATTACACAACCCCCAGGAACCAACAGCAACATTAACTGGGTTCTGTGTTTTTCAGCAGAGATGGTAGCACATTTTATAATCATTAGCCTGTTTCATGTTTTGTATGTTAGTTAGTTTTTCAGTTACTAACATATGAACAGTAGCTGGTTAGCTTGTGTATGTTTCTTTAGGTATTTCTGAAGATCAAGTGTGCTCATGTAGATAAAAAACATGTACATATTAATGTTGTTGTGGCAGCTTTAATTACCGAAGTAACCAAAAGATTTCTTGCTTATTAAGCAAGACATTGTCTGTACGTTTTTAATCTGTATTCTTAACAAATAGCTGCAGGGAAGCACATGCAATTGCCTCTTACATGGATCTGCTTTGGGTGCTAGTCCTGAATGAACATGTTGGCACTGATGGAAAGAGCTAGCACAGTAACGCTTTTTCTTTTGTGATTGGCTCCAACTAATCCTTAAAAACTGCAGAGCTTTAAAATGACCTATATTAATTAAAGCACTTAATTTAACTTGAGAATCCGAAAATAGTCTATCATGCTTAAACTACTCAGTCACTCTACTAAGAACTACACAGCTAACATCACCACAGTGCTGTCAGGATAGATTTGCTGGATCAGATTCTTTTTTCCCCTCAGCATTTTCTGATACAGATACCCATCAAGACTGATTTGGAATCTCTACTAATAGTATATTTGTCTGGCGTTCAGTTTGTGACTGAATAGCTTAAAAAAAATTCAGGTTTTCTTTACTGATTTGCCTTGTTGTTACCTTTGTAAGCAGATTTTGTTTACAGTACATAGTTGTCATATGCAGCGTTTGAACCAAAAAATGTATAAAAAGTCCAAAAGTACAGTCGTTTCTTGGCTAAGAGTATTGACACTAATGGTACGTGAGCATGGAAGCTAAAGTTGAGGTGTAACTGTATAAAGTAAGGCAGCAGTCTCTGCTGTGTGTAGAAGAGTGTGTGACTTATTCTGTTCCCATTTTCCTCATGTGAACCCCAAAGTTCCAAATATATGGCCAAAAACAGTCCTGGTTATCTTGATAATCCAGCATCATCTGGACAAATAGAAACAGATCTCCCATTTGGGAAAGTTCAGAGTGTTTCCAGTACAAGCTAGTACTTTTCCTCTGGCTAAAGAAATAATGATGAAGTGGAATCTAGCAGCCGTCTGCTTTTGTGTGTGGTCTGCGTAACCAAAGACAGGCTTGTCTTCAGCTCACAGTGAAATCGCAAAAACATTACACTGAAACAAAAGACACTAGCTGAATGTTTTGGGGTGTATGTGATCACCTCTGTTGATCATTTTGAAGGCTAGTGAGCGAAAGACTTGACGTTATGACATTAAAGCTATTGCTATAGTGATCCATCACAGGGAAGATCACGGCTCATCTATCTTTGTAACGCTTCATAAAAGTCTGTAGAGCCTGCAGATTAATTAGCTTCAGTTACCAGGTGACTTTAATGATTCTTCTACTGCTGTAGAACTAGTGGAAGGCAGAGCATATTTCAAGTGCAAGTCAGTCGTTTTTTGCCAAACCTGTCAGTGCTAAGAATAGTCAACGTTCCCAACTGACTGACTCACTCATACGCATTTAAAGGTAGCTGTGATTAGCATAATAGTGTTCAAGCTCCCAGGGAAGGTGAAGTCTCCACTCAACTTCTGTGGCTGAATTGTACTAAATTAAGACAAGAGCGAAAGAGTGTTAGTCGCATCAAGAAATGGCTGCTTGGTGAATCATAGAACCACAGTACTGAAAAGCAAACTTGTTTTTAAATGATTTAATACACGGTCTTGCAGGTTTTGTCTTCCTTGGCATGATTTTCAGAAGACTTGATGCTGGATTTATCAAAGTCTTTATCATAAATAACACAAAGATGGAAAAAGTATGATCAAGGCCATTCTGTTATTAATTTTGTCGTTTGCGTTTTGCCATTCAGTTTTGCTTTGCCTCTCTAATTAGGGCTGTGGTGGAATCTGTACACAAGCTGGATGTCATCATTGGTAGCAAGTCATCGTACAGGGAGGTCTTCAAGCCAGAGAACATCAGCCTGCGGAACAAGTAAATACTCTCGATCTCAGTCCATTTTCAGTTGTTGTTTAGTGAGCGTGAGTGCAAAAGAGGAGGCTTTCTTCAATCTGGTTCTCATTTCAGGCTGCGTGAACTGTGTGTGAAGCTGATGTTCCTGCACCCCGTAGACTATGGCCGCAAAGCAGAGGAGCTGCTATGGAGGAAAGTCTACTACGAGGTCATCCAGGTCATCAAAACAAACAAGAAGGTACTTGCTGCTCCTGTGGGGTATTCTGCTGTGAATGATTGTTGATCGTATTATGTGGTGATCTGCCCAGTGATTCATTCACAGAATACAACTCAGTGAAAATTCCAGATGGCGTTTTCTCCTTTAGTGTTGAACTGAGCTATGAAGTTAATGTAGCTTACAAGTAATGGAAGCTGATATCCCACCAATTGACACCATGCATATTGTATACCTTAATCATTATAGACTTGATTATACTAATACTGTGTGGCCCTTTTCACACATAATCTGGTATGTTACTGTCTTAAAATCAGAGACCAACCTTCGTTTATTTTCAGTCAGAATGGCCATTTAGTACAAGTCACTTATTTTGCAGAGGATAGTCTGGAGATTAGATGAAGTATAACCACTTGCATAACTCAAAAAGTATGGAACAGGACTGTCCACATTGGTCTATGAGGACATTACATTTGGCAAACCATAAAGTTATCCAACCCCACCACCTCATTCATTGAGAGAACAAATGTTTTTACTATATATAACCTATTAAATGCTCATTTTTCTTTTAAAATGTTTTTGAAATAGTGTAGTGTTATAAAAACGGAAAAAGAAGAACATTTTTTAAATCTTAACAAAGAAGCTGCTGGTGTTCTCACAGCAGTAGACTGACCTCAGGCCTCAGCATAACTGAATGTGTTTGGGCTTACAAGAAATTAAGATTGCGAGAAGTAGAAAATGCAACCAACTTCTAAGGCTAAGCTTTGTAAATGTGGAAAAATATCCTTGTAGATTTTTTTTTTGAAAAACTAAAGGCAAGTCTCCAGAATGGAGGCAGTAATAAGGGCAAATATTGAACATTTTTTATATATTTAGTTGTTGAGCCTTGTGTGTAATTTTCTGTTTAATGTTTTCTGCTTTTTTCGCTACGCTGAAAAATAAGTAACTTGTACTTTGGAAAAAATATAAATAAGGGTCTGAATTTTGCACAGTAAAGTACTTATACCGCTAATGTCTGGGCTTTGCATTGTCCATACTTGGGTCTTTAAATGATATTTTACTGGGATGCACATGTTCACGTTTGCTGTGAAAGTCCCAATAAACAGAATGTGAAGTGTTCAGCGTGCTGTGATGTGTTCATCATGAAAAACACATTTCCACAATGTTTTTAATTCGCAAACAAGTTCCACTGTAAAGACAAAAACATCTATAAAGTGTTTTGCTTTGCTTTGCTTTTTCGCAGAAGTAGTTCCGCTTGAGGAAACTGACAGCTTGTCTGTAAAAACAGCAGAAGTTGATACGTTGCTGTATTTTCCTCGTAATAAATCAGCCTTCATTCATACGTGAAGCCTCCCAGTAGTTTCACCTGAATTGTACTTAGGAGTAGTAATAGACATATTGAAGCCTGATCTCTGTTTCTGCTCTTTATCCTCCCTTCTTTGTCTCTCCCCTTCTTTGTCTCTCCCCCCCTTTACAGCACATCCACAGCCGTAGCGCTCTAGAATGTGCCTATAGGACTCACCTTATTGCTGGAGTGGGCTTCTACCAGCATCTTCTGCTTTACATCCAGTCCCACTATCAGCTGGAGCTACAGGACTGCATCGATTGGACACATGTCACCGACCCCCTCATCGGTGAGACCCCGTCGCCCATACTCTGATATAATAATGGAGTTCTTTGCAATGAAAGATAACTGGAATGTGTTATTCATGTTTGTAGGTCGTAAGAAGCCTGTGTCTGCTACTCCTAAGGAGATGGAATGGGCTCAGATGGCTTGTCATCGATGTCTTGTATATCTGGGTGACCTTGGTAAGTCCTTTGCTATTGACAAAGAAAACGTACACACATTTTTACAAGCTAGAGGTGGCTTTTAGCAAATACTTACATTGTGTATCTTTAGACTTGTTAGAAATTCACTCAGTTATGTCTCCCTGTGGGCAGTGTGATTATTTAATCATTTTTTATGCTAGCTGTGAAAAATCAAAGAACATGAACAGAGCTGTGTGAATTTTGTGTCCAGCACGGTACCAGAATGAACTGGCAGGCGTGGAGGCTGAGCAGCTGGCTGAACGCTTTTACCACCAGGCCCTGTCCGTCTCGCCCCACGTAGGTGAGTGAGATCATCCCTTCTGTTTTTCGTCTGTAGGGATGTGCAGAGTGATTTGATTTTACCAATTCTCAAACTCCTATTAGTATTTCTTTACTTAATTGGGTGTCTAAATTAGGTATGTTTTGTTGATTTTCTACACTCTCTATACTTAAATGTGACATTTTTCTGAAAGTTTTAGTGGACAATTTCTATGTATGTTTTCAGTTTAACATACTGAAAAGAAATAAAACATAATTATATAAAATGTGCTTTATATATATATATATATTTTATGTTTTTGCAAATATTAAATTCAGCAAAAAAAACTGTAATTGTGTGTTCTCTGTAGAGGATGTGTTAAATTATTTTCACTTAGAAATCTGCAAAACATGTAACTTGACCAAGGCAAGCTGTAAGGTCTCAGTTTATTCATGAGACTCATGTAATTTGTTTATTTTTGCACTGTATGTCTAAAACGTAATGTAGAATATCGCTAAGAAAATTCCACCTAAACTCATTGATCAGATACAGAACATTTATTTTTATAATGCTATGTTTTTCTATTCAAAATTTTAAAAAATCTCACTGGTAAAATTTTATTTATTTATAAATATGGATATTTGAATATCAAAAACCCAAATGCCCATCCCTGCTGGTGTGGAAATGTCGGGACTTTTTTCTAATGATGCTCTTCGGGGAAGCAAAGTTTATAAGCCATAATTTTCTCTGAACTGTGGTGCTATTAATCAGCCTTAACCATTTGTTGCTGTTGTATTCTTCACAGGGATGCCTTTTAATCAGTTAGGTACACTAGCTGGAAGTAAATTTTACAATGTGGAAGCCACCTACTACTACCTTCGCTGGTGAGTGATGCTTTTGCACCTTTTCAGTGCATTTTCTCAGCACAATATTTGATTCAGCCTCAGGGGGGCACTGTTACCTCACTATACTTAACCGTGATGCAGAGAGTTAGAATAGCAGACATAGAGATTGCACACCAAACTGGAGTTAAAGTCAGACTACTGAACATTTATGGCACCTAAGGTTATGTTTGGACTTTACATTCCATGTGATCTAATTAAAAACAAAAGCATGTTATGATCTTAGACAAAACACGTCTAACCTGCTTTTCTTGTTGAACAGTATTCAGTCGGAGACTCCCTTTGAGGGAGCGTACGGAAATCTGAAGCGTCTGTTTGACAAAGCAGCCAAGATGTACCACCAAGTAAAGAAGCAAGAGATGAAGAAGCTCTCGCCATCACGCCAGAGGTTAGCTTTCACACTGTGCAAGCAGAGAAAGATAAAAGCAGCATCTGGACCTACAGATTGTAGCGTTCAGGCGGCATGCTTTCCTCATGCCAGTGTACCAAATGTGTCACCGTATGAAATTTGATTAAGCTTAAATAAGCAGCAATCATCTGGTGCGTTGCAGTAATAGCTAATCAGCTGAAAATCTATAAAGGTCAGACTTATTAAAGTAGTTTTATTTAACTGAGGCTTGTCGCATAATTTATGGTTGTTTTCTTTGTAAAAATAATTTAATGGAAAAATAACTCTGTCCTCTTCTTTAATAAAACCTCAGATCAAAAGACATCAAACGACTCCTTGTGAGCTTCATGTACCTCCAGAGTTTGCTGCAGCCCAAGAACAGGTAAGGCAGTTTGTGTATTTTATATATAATATATTTTGACCATTTGTCTACATTGGCAAATTGCCTACATTTTTTGTAGAGGAGGCAAGTATGTTTTCTTTGCACTAGGACCTATAAGATCCTTGTTACAGCAGTGGCTGTAGTCATGTTATCTGCTTTCTGGTTGCAGTGTGATCGAGACAGAACTGACCTCTCTATGCCAGTCAGTCCTGGAGGACTTCAACCTGGTGCTGTTCTACCAGCCCACACCTAGCCATGGCGGCCAGTCTGTCAGCGAGGAAGAAGACGACCATGATCAGGCCTGCTCCGTGCTGCCCGACAGCCTGGTCTTTAAGATGGTGGTGATCTGCCTTATGGTGGTACACAGCCTAAAGAGAGGAGGTGAGTCCACAAGGAAACAAGAATGAGAGGTGGCTGTGATTGTGCTCTTGACATCTATGCTTCTTTTAGACATTTTTGTATAGAGAGTGAAAATAGCTGGCTTACACATTCAGATTGAATGTACTGATGGTTGGTGGTTAGAACGTTTGATTGGCCCTCATTATTCCACTCATGCTGTTCCAAGAATTGCAGAATTACCTGCAGTCATGTGCTAATGCATGCCACATATTCTTTCTCTTGCAGGTGAAGCACTCTTTTGTTAATAAATTGTTCTTTTCCTTTCAGGTTCTAAGCAGTACAGTGCCTCCATTGCCTTCACACTAGCACTTTTCTCTCATCTTGTCAACCATGTCAATATCCGACTACAAGCTGAACTTGAGGACGGAGAGAGCGAGGTCCCACCTTACGCACTGACAACATTGGTAAGAAAACAAGAAAAAACATCACATGGAACATCAGTTTTATTTTATATGTCACCTCCTTATCTGTATTTTTCCCAAATTCACAGAGAGCCAGGATTGAATATTCATAGCCTGGATGCCAGCATAATGCGACATAGGGCTGTGCAGCACTGGGGAAAAAACTGACATTGCAGTATATTTTTCTGCAATATATATTACAATATCAGTAAATACAGGAATTATCACCAGATGATTGGGGTGATTTTGTAGGAAGAGTAATAATATTTAGTAGTAAAAATAATAATGATAAAAAGATGAAAAATTACTTCCTCTAAAGACTTTTTATTCAAATCATTCTTTCTTGAGCTTCAGTGCTATACAATTGGTTTAAGTGCACCAAGCACAAAAGCAGGTGAGCGCTGTGACTACTCTTCTGAAGTGATTTTGGAGGGGGAAATTAGGTAGTTTAATACACTGATTGACTCACCATGACACCATTGTATTAGTATTTATATAAAAAATAAATTTTTAACAATCCAGGCTAAAGTTAATTATCTACCATGTCATGACATTAATAATGCATGTTGCTTACCCTAAAATAAGGGGATCATCTGTGGAGAAGTGGTGTGGTGTCTAGAAGTGATCCTGGGGATGTATTATGGAAACATATTAATTCTGAAATCTTCTCTTGTCTATTTAGTCACCATCACCACTTAATTTAGGCCTGAAGTTAAGACAGTAGTTATTACAGAACAACAGTTCTTAAGTTCATAATCTTATAAACTTCAGATAAAAAAAACAGTATTATGGAAAATCCTTACTAGAGAAAATTGGTGTGCTAACTTTTGCTTTAATTGTCTGTTTTTGTTGCTTTTAGCTGTGACAGACAGCATAGTTCACTATAAATATATTGCAAAACCGACTTCACTTGAAGTTTTTTTTTTTCCAACTGCGTTTTAATGATGCCAGACACTGCAGACACGATTTCCACCGCCCCCCCCCTTTTTACCTTTGTCTGATAATGTTGATGAAAACTTGTAGATAAAATATTACAGCAGTGGTTCTGAGACATTTATTAGGGGGAATAACATGCACAATCAGCTAAAGCTTTTGGGAAATGGAAACTGAAACTGGGGAGCAGCGATGCTCTGATAAACAATGCTCTCACAATGTTCATAACTTCCAGTTGATTGCACTTCAGTTTTCTTTTTACATCAGTAACCGAAGCTGTCTGGCTAAATAACTTACATTCTTAACATTATTTTGACGACATATAATACATTTCAGCTTTGTAAGAATGGTCGTTTGCTTGGTAACAGGGATGAAAGTTGAGTGTTGGCTTTGATAGCGTAGTTTTGGTAAGGAACTGAATACAGAGTAAACTATATCAGACAGACTTCTCTTATATATTAGACATGAGATGAGAACTGTGCAAGTTTTCTTTTTTGTATCAAGCAGTATGAAAGTTGTAGTTTGACATGTTTGATTTAATTGGCCTTACTTGACATTGCAGCTAGAAACGTTATTTATTGGTTCTTGAGTTCAAGCTGTTGTAATCTGCTCTTCTTCTTAAGATGACGCTGATGTCAGAGAGCAGGCTGGCATACTTCCTTCAGAAAAAAGAACCCTCCAGAATGGTTCACTGGAAGAGGAAGACGATGATGACGAGGAAGACGAGAACAATGAAGATGGGTCAAAAAGGGAGAGGAGGGGAGCAGCATCTAAGAAAGTGAAGAAGAGCGGAGAAGAGAAGCAAAAACAGAAGAGGAAGTATACACGTTTGTCTATGCTCCGGCGCCGACGTTGTGCCCGCGACGAGGATGAAAGCGACCTGAGTGAGGGCTTTGAGAGTGATGAAGAGGAGGAGGAAGAGCGCGGAGGTACCACAGATGGGCTGGGGGTCTGTAGGCCGCCGGCTAATTCTCTGGGAAAGGAGGGACGTAGCAGAGAGGGAGCCTGGGAGAGTGGCTCTGAGGAGGAAGAGGAGGGAGGTACTGCCTTTGACGTGGAAACCGACTCGGACATGAACAGCCAAGAGTCACGCTCTGACCTGGAGGACATAGAGGACACTGAGAACCCGGCACCGGAACAGCAGCAGCAGGAAGAGGATGAAGAGGAGCATCAGCCACCACAGCAGCCGCCCCAGGACGAACGCTCTACCCCACCAGCCACCAACGGGCCTTTGCTGTCCAGTGATCCAAGTATTAGCAGTAACCTGCAGGCCATGTCTTCGCAGCTGTTCCAGGCCAAGCGCTGCTTCCGCCTTGCTCCCACCTTCAGCAACGTGCTGCTGAGCCCCCCCAGTGCCTCTAACCCTGCTCCTGACACAGATCCCACCCCCTCACAAGAAGCCACGCCCCCTCCTGGAGACTTATCTGGCAGCGCTACTCCAGAAATTGCAAATGGAACCAATGACAATGGTATGTTTATTTGTGCTTTGTTTGTTTTTCATTGCGTTCAGTTTTCTGAGCTTCTTTAACCTTTTTCCTTCTTATTTCAGATGTTGAATCCGACACGGAAGACAGTGAGCACAGTAACCAGTCATTTCACAGCGAGAAAACACTATCTGAGAGACTTGAGATACTGACCAATCAGGGCCTTATTCAGGTTGTGAAGGTCTTTGTGGATTGGTTGAGGACAAATACCGACATCATTCTTATGTGTGCACAGGTATAGAGGCCTGTCTTTAACATTTTTTTTCAACATTGGTAATGCATGATTGACTCATTTCATTTCATCATTGAGTACGTTTCCTTAAATGATGTCATGCAGTTTTGTTTAGAGCCCCCCCAATAATCAGTAATTATATTAAAATATGGTAAAATATGTTGTGATAACGTTGTTGATCATATCACCCAGCACCAGTTTCTGTGTATTTGGTTGTAGGCTGATTGCATTCTGTCTTTTCCCAGAGTTCTCAGAGCTTGTGGAACCGCCTCTCTGTGCTGCTAAACCTACTGCCTGATGGAAACAAGATGTTAGAAGCAGGTTGGTTAGAATCGAGTTATCTCCATTCTGCAAAAGCTTATCTTCTTTCTATAAAGGTTTATTCTTGTCCGAGAACCTTCATCCATGTATATTTTATTCATAGATCTTAATTTTGTTTTAATATGTTCATTCGCCACAAGGGAAAAGCTGCTTGTTAAACTGTTTAGTGAGCTTGCAACTTTCCATTTAAAGTTGTACATAATATGGTGACCCATGGTGTCTTGCCTTTTCATGTGCATTCCCTTTTGGCAGAGTTGGGGCTGAAGAAGGAGGTGAGGGAGCTGGTGACGGAGAGCGAGCAGCCTGATCTGGTGCAGACAGTGCTGCTGCCGGAGGACCAGGCGCTGCGGCACCTTCCTGCACTCAGCCTGGCCCACCGCAGACTGGATTTCACCAGCCACAGACCCAGCCTCAGCCCCCTGCAGGAGGTAGGACCCTCACATAGACGTCCCAGACTAATGCATGGTTTGAGTCCTGTTTAAGAAAGACATTTCACAAAGTGCAAGAAATATAAATACATGTATATAATGTGAAATTCTAACATATAGCACTTATTAGGCTGATATGAGTCAAACTTTGGGTTTATTAGTAATCCTCTCACTATGAGTGTAAAAATGCATCGGTGAGTCATGACACAGTGATCTGAAGGTAGCGATTCAAGTGCATGGATTTTAGAATGTTAGAATTGGTTAAAATCAGTTGTGTTTGCACTTATTGTATATTTTATGGCCAAAAATAAATCCTCAGTCTACATGCCAAGAAGAATGCTTGGCATGTTGCTTTATTGTTTGTGTTCTCCTACTATGTAAATGAGTCCTCCAGTCACATTTATATAATCACTGTATTTTTAAACCTTATTTGTAGTCAGACTAAAATAATCAAATTCAGTCAAGTCATGATGAAATCAAAGAGATATGCTCCTAATTTATATACAACTACTGTATTTTATGACTAAGGGTTATTAGGGACTAGCACTCTGCTAATTTTGAAGGAAACATTAGCTGGTAATGCCCTGCCTGTAACATTTTGTATTTTTTTTGTTTTTTCTGTCTCCATGGTGCCAGTGTGTGGTGCGCTTGTGCTGCATTCGCAGCTTTGGCCACTTTCTCACTAATCTCCAAGGCAACGTGTTGCACTTCAATCCGGAGGCAGGCATTTTCACCAGCATCAGCCAATCGGAACAGGATAACTTGGTTCAGCAGGCAAAGGCCCAGTTTCGCATGGTAAGGGAAGGTCTGATCCAGTTTGACCACTGCTGTTTTACAAACTCCTGACTGCTGCAAACACAGTCACATTGTGCACATTTTGTGTGTTTTGAGTGTTTTTACAGTTTTCTTCCCAATTTAGTCACATTGAATTCCACCCACTCATTAGGACTCACAGTCGCACGATGCCACTAGCGCTAGGAGGTCGAAGGCAAACACAGACTTCCTCCGAGTCATGTGAAGCCAGCCATTCAGCTGCTTATTCAGCCTCCAGTAGTTTAGTGCCACCTACTCACACAGTACATGGAGCGTTTCAGGCTGGACTGATTTTTGAATGAGGCATAATAAAAGGCAGCCAATCAGAACATACATAAAACGTCACCGCAACAAAAACAAAGGATAAAAAGAGGTTGGAAAGTAGTCATGCAAAAAACAAATTATGATTTAATTGGAACATAAAACCATACAAATGTTTAAGTGGACAAACATGTGAAACGCATTAAAAACGTAGGATAGGAACCAATTTAATATAAAGAGTTCTTTCCAATTCATTCTTACCTCAAATATTAATCCTGTATAATATTTTCTGAGAACTCAGAATCTGTATTTCTGAATCTTAATTGCCCCTGGGACCTGGTCTTAACAATGTGGAAACAACTTATGTAAATTAAAAGAACAAACCCCCGAGCTATAAGACTTGAATGTATAGTTGAAGCAGTGCCACTTACTTAGAGCACCAATAAATGATAGGGTACACAGGCCTGTGGAGAGGAGAGCGTGTTCTTTCATACAGCCTTGCCATATCTGTGAGGTTTTCTTGAGTGTCTGATGTTGCTAGGCAACCACGCTGCCCTTACGGGGTAGAACAAATGCTGATTAAAGTGCCGCCTTGCTGTTCTGGAGCCCCGTCAATAAAGCTGGCAAGGCTTTAGAAACCAAAAATGATCTGTTACTAGGCATTGATTGGGAACTTGAGCAAAGTAAATGTACTTCTGAGAAAACTGTTGAGCTAGATTCTGGAAATGCACTCCAAACTTTTTTAATTGTCTTAGGTTGCTGATCTTTTCTATTATATGTAGATCACATTTGTCTCTGAAATGCTTTTTTCTTTCAGGGCTCATTAAAATGAAATAGACAAGCCTTTGGTCAGTAGAGCTCGTCATTGGTAAATTGACCTTGTGGGGGGTTTTTTTTTGTGTGCAGGCTGAAGAAGAGGCACGCAGGAACAGGCTCATGCGGGACATGGCACAGCTGCGTCTGCAGGTTTAAATCCCATACTTAATAATATTAGTAATAAACCCAGTAGTTAAGAAACGGTTTTGGTTATATTTTGAGCTGCAACTATTGAATATGTACATTTCTGAATATTCCATAAGGATATGGAAAGCTCAAGTTTAGAACTGGGCCATATGACTGAAATGTAACATCATGGTATTTCAAAAACTTCACAATACATCATGAATTTTTTTTTTCCTGCCATTTCATAAGTTGAATGTAGAGCCACTTTTAAAAATACCTAAAAACATTCTTAATTACTAATTATGCTCTTCTTGTAATCAAACATGCAGTTTGTAAGTGTTTAAGCGCTGATGATGTCCATGATATGCTCAGAATAATATATTGTAACATCTTGTGATGTAATTTATCATGATGATGATAAACATGGTCATACTGCCCAGCCCTACATAAGATTATTATCTTATAAAATTTTCAGAAATATATGATCAAACGTTTTTAAGCCACTTAAAAACCAGAACATGCACAAAACTAAGAGATGTCAGTCTGAATGCCAGGTGCAGTCTGAATAAGTTTCCTACTGCTCACGACAGCACGCTAGCACACTGTCATTTATTCTGGGAAATAAAGACAACTGCATGCTAGCCAGCAGTTGAATTCCAGCTGAGGAACTCCACCAGATTTTCAAAATTTCTTCATAATTAAAACATCCAAAGCATTGAAATGTCTCTAAAAGCTACATCACAAAGTTATTACATGGAATATTTATGCACATGCTGATAAGGTTTTGGCCTTAAAAAAGTATTTTAATATCCATTTATGGTAAAGTTACATGCAGGGTGTTGTAAGGAAAAATAGTACCCAATGAAAACATATTTTTTCAGATTTACCTTCAACATTACGTATAAAAACTAAAGACATTGTGACCTCTGGTTCCTGGCACCAAAATTAACCATTTCACATCAAACCACTCCGAATGACTGTGATAACATGTCAGTGATTGAATTTTGCAGGATTTTTAAAAAATCTATCTGAATTATCATATGTGTCATCGTGTGTGTGTGTGTGTGTGTGTGTGTGTGTGTGTGTGTGTGTATGTGTATATATATATATATATATATATACATACACACTGTACGAATTCATGGTTTGAGTCCTGTGTAAGAAAGACATTTCACAAAGTGCAAGAAATATAAATACTAATTCTAACATATAGCACTTATTAGGCTGATATGAGTCAAACTTTGGGTTTATTAGTAATCCTCTCACTCTGAGTGTAAAAATGCATCAGTGAGTCATGACACAGTGATCTGAAGGTAGCGATTCAAGTGCATGGATTTTAGAATGTTAGATATATAATCATGTATTTGAATGACTTGGTTATTTTTTTAATATTTGAATTACTGGATATAGTGAATGTTCTTGAATATACACCCTAATTCAGTTCAGGGGTGTCAGACTTAACCACTAAAAGGGCCGTATTAAAAAAAATCTCAACAAATCCGTGGGCCATCTGTGTTTTAATTTCATTTTTGCTTAACATTTTGTCATGACCCAAAACTACAGCAGCAAAAAATAGCCACTGAATGATTGAACGATTCAGAAATAAATGTAAATAAAAAAAATTGTTTTATGTAAAACAGTAGACTACATTAGCTACGGCTGTTAAACCTCTTTAAATGTACCCAAGATTTTTTTTTTTTTAAACTGCATATTTGCTTGAACTAGACTCCAGGCATCTTTTCTTTTTGTGTAACTGCTGGCCCATAGATTGTTGCTGGGAAGGGGGTTATAGCGCGCATTATGTCTCAGGGCATGCTGGGAACTGTAGTGCAGCTCATGGTAAATAATAATAGAAAACTAAAACAGTTTTGCAGGCCGAATAGGATTGTGCCACGGACCTTGTGTTTAACACGTGGGCTGTAGTTGCATTGGTTTTGAAGTGATGTTTCTTAAAGTTGACCTTAGTTCAGACTATAGTATGTCCAGTATCTAAATTTATACATTTTATTTTTAACCTCTTACTGAGAAAAGCTTACTACTAGGACGTAGTTCAGAGAATTTATGACCAGCTCATTATAAGACAGTACAGTCTTGGCGTAATGCATCTCTCTGTCGACCACCGCAGTTGGAGGTGTCCCAGCTGGAAGGCAGCCTTCAGCAGCCCAAGGCCCAGTCGTCCATGTCCCCATACTTAGTACCTGACACATCTGCTCTCTGCCAGCACCTAAACCTGCTGAGACAGCTGGCTGCCAGTGGCTGCTTCATCATCATCATCCCCCGCACAGGTTAGAAGCTTCACCCTTTTATCTTTACCTTCATGAGTCTGCAGTTTAAATCCATACATTTAAATTATAGCTGTTTAGTCATTGGTTGCTAAGCAGGTGTGTTACCTGTTCAAAGGGCTGTCACAGTCATGAAATTTTAGTTAATGATTGTCACATAATACAATTAACAATTTAGTTGACGTTTTTGTTCATTGTGTGCAACCATTAAAGGACAAGCCCATAGCGGCCAAACAAGATAATATTGTTTTCCAGCTGTTTACTTAAACACTTGTCTATGGTTACATAGATTCATGTGTAAAGTCAATCAAAGCTTCTCTTTCTTAAGATGGAAAATATAAGCAAAAAAAAATCATTCTGCAGCATACATGCGTTTGAATTAGCTACAAAGCTAATAAAGAAAAATTACTCATGCTGCCCTCTAAATATCATAGAACAGCAAATTAGAAGTTAGAACTTTTTTTTTCCATGGTATGTCTCCATTTACTGCTTTCTTTTATTTACATTTATTCGGCTCAATCCAGCGCACCCTTTTAGCTTGTTGTATGATTGTATGGTTGAGTAATCTAATGACTGTGGAAAACGGTTGCAGTCAGCTGAAATAATTGCTGTTGATAGTATTCTGATGTCGTCACAATTGCACAGCCACCATTTTGGTAGGCAATATCAGGTTCATTCAGCAGTGCTGAGTTGGGTTGTAATGAGAAATCAAAGCCATAACCGATTCAGCAAAGGCAGTAAAACATGTTTAGCACTTTTTAAATCTATATTAGTATATTAACTGATACATTTGGGTGCCTTGATTTTATTTAATTTGTTGCTGCATTGATAACAAATAGCTGACAAAAAGCTGAAACCTAATCCGCCACCTAATTTGCCAACTTTCATAATTTGTTCGATATTAAGGTGCCTCAGTGCAACTGAGGCACCATTTAAGGTGGAATGGAAAATTCATGTGAGAAGCTGGTGAATAAGAAGCTAATTTCAGCTTTATATGTCTGTGTGTATGAGTTTACTGTTTAAGAGCTTTGGCCGGTTTGGTTGGCACTTTTATTAGTTACTGTAGAATCTTACGGATTTAGATTTTGACCTCTGGAGATGTGCAGATTATACAGATCCTGTCCACCATTCTAGCTTATTTTCTTCTTAGCGTTTCCTGGAGACTGAAACTAAAGTGTCCACATATCTGTTTTTTTGTGGTCATTCTGATCCATTTTGCTATTTTGGGTTTGGTCTGCAGCCTCCTGCAGGGTTATGGCTGTAGTAATGGTGATGAGATGAGCTCTATTAGAGCACAGTCAGTTACAGCTTGCCTACAAACATGGAGACATGGTGGTCTTAATGACACAATCGAACACAATTAATTAGGCGTTTATGGAATAATTGTGAAAATAGCAATTTGAGTGCAACTATCTGAATTTTTTTTTTAATATTTTGTATTTGTGTATATATAGTTTTTTTTATACTATTACACAAAAAGAATTCACAGGTATGTGTGCACCTGACTGAAATGTTCTGTGCCTTCTCATCAGTGATCGATGGACTTGACGTCCTGAAGAAAGAAAATCCAGGCGCAAGAGATGGCATCCGTTTCCTAGAGTCCGAGTTTCGGAAAGGAAACCGGTAGGAGTACCTCAGTGTTGTGGTTTTTATTGATTGATTGATTGATTGTGTGTATTGGTTGTGTATTTAAGTGTTTCTTTTTGATTGTCAGTTCTCTATAGAATTTCTAGGAGTAAGTTTTCCAGACATGAGGTTAAGCCTAGTCCTGGACTACTTTTCCTTTCAATGCAAATTCTTTGTTCAGAATGCTGCGTAGTCCAGGACTAGGCTGAATTCCTGTCTGGGAAACAGACACCCCAAGACATACTTAACTTATAATTAATCAGGCTAATACAAGAAAGCTTATCTGTAACATTCAAAGGAAACACCGCTCAAAAATTTTAGCAGGGAGTGAAAACTATTGAGCATCTAACAGTATGTGTACACTCACGCTTTTTGTCGCCACGTAATTCTGCGCTGGATTACTGCTCGACACTGGTGGGCAATTCTGTGAGGTTTCTGTTATGGAAGTTAAAGAAAAGGAAACGTATAAAGTATGTCTGGAGAGGTAAACAATGTGATGCACTTTTAACTGTTTTATAACTGTTTTTACCTTTTTTTGTGTGCGTGTTACATCAAAGCTTACAATGAGAATAAACTGTATTTTTATGCTTTTTTTTCTATCCTATGCCTATTTTATAATGTCATCCATATGAGCTACCAAGTTAGCTCACTTAAAAAAAAAAAACAAAAAAAAACTGAAAGCTTGATTCCTTGGCAAATACAAAGTGCATATGATTTCAAAATATTCAGATGTTTTTAGAAGCAAATGAAAAGCCTAAACTTTATCCAGTTCTTCCAAATTGATTTAATCCAGTTTTATCCAAACCCTCCAAATTGTCAGTTATGTAAAAAGCAGAAATTTTATGCCTTAATGCCTTATAAAATGTTAATATTTGTGACAAAAAACAATCAACTCTTTAGCACGATAAATGTGGCTAAATGTGGCGGCTGGACTCACTTGCAAAAAGTAGAAGTCAGCTGAAGCGATTTTCTGCCTGACAAGGCTGATTTCGCTGTGAAATTGCAAGTGACCGGCTTCCATTCTTTTTCAGCAACACTAGCTGAATTTCATGAATTTTAAAGAACCTTCTCATCCTGCATACCTGCTTGATAACAGCAGATATTGTTTTCACTGTGTTTAAGCCCACTTCGCCTGCCACATAAAAATTCAGCTATCTGTTGTCCTCTCCCTTGATGTCTCTTCATTTCCTGTCTGTGTTACAGATATATCCGCTGCCAGAAAGAGTCAGGGAGGAGCTTTGAGAGGGACAAGCTGAAAAGACAGGACATTGAAGCCTGGTGAGCCCGAAACAAACGTTTTAATGAGCTGATCTATGACTTTTCAAGTGCCATAAGTGTTGCGCCCAGTTTTTTTCTGTAAAGCATGATTCAAAGAGAGGGCTATCTTCAGTTTTCCAGTTTTCCAAGAAATCCAACATGAGCTTGCAGGTTAGGGTTGTTTGTGTATTTATAAACGTTTTGTTTCCATGTGGTTGCAGGCACCTTTACAAGATGGTGGACAGCTGCCGTCAACTGACAGGCACTCAGAACAGTGGAGATGAAGACACGGCTGGCATGGTGACCATTCTGACCGGACACGCAGTCGCGGAACTGGCTGAGAGATCAGCCCCAATGAAGGTTCGTCAGTTCGTGGAATGGAACAGAGCCCAGAGCAGTAGTGCTTCTAGTACTGCAGCGTTTAGCTGTGGGATGCCCGTGCTGTGCGTGCTCTGCTTCGTACATGATAAATTGGGTGGCATGTGCAGCTGTCTAAAAAAAACGTTCTCTGGATGTCTGTCTACCTGCCTATTTTTAGAGGCTCTCGAGGGTTGACACATAATTAGCGTTGTAGTCAAGACCCCTAAACTTGGGCCAGAGGCTAGGAGAGGATTAGTAGAGTCGGCAGAACATTTATACTAAAGCAATGCAAATCCAACTTAAACTGTGGGAGGAGTTTAGATAATGCTGTTGTAGTAACACTAAGACTGTCCAGTTAGTGCTGATCAGTACTGCAGGATGGTCCAGCTGATACTGTCAGGAGTTTCTAAAGGAACTTCTACTGTGCAAGGAAGTGCCGAGGAACTAAGGATAGGCATTTCAATCAAATTCCATATTTGAATTTGTAAAATATTATTCTAAAAATACTAGGGAAATAATGAAAAAATTCTGCCAAAAATTGTCAAAAAAGGCAAAAATGTTGGCTGAAAAAGAGCAAAATTTGACATGGGTATACAGTGAAGTGTCAAAATCTAACCATTCAGTAACAAGTAATTGAAAAATAAATGAGAAATACTGATCAAAAAAGTTTGTTCCTTTCGCTGTCCACTGGTCAACACAGACACTTTCAAACAGTTCAATCAGTAGCAGATCAACACTCGAACGTTGCAGCAGCTGCGTTCTTTACAGTCTTTAGCTTACATGATTTTTAGCAGTAACCGATTTAATCAAATTTTTACAGTGCAATCCCATTAATAATTTGGATTAAAAAATAATTTTTTTGATAACTCTAAAAAAAAAATTGTTTACCTCTTGATTTGAAAGTTGTTATTCTTAACGTGCGTTTGTTAAATCCTGCTGAGGTTTATGCCTGTTTTTCTCCAAATAACAGTGACTTGCCTGCTAATTGAAACTGCAGATGAAATGTTAATGAAAGTTCGCACACAGTCACTGACATTGAATGTCGAAGCACGCCGCCAGTCAGCAAATTCCAGCACTGCCTCTCAGTACCAGTCAGCATCCCTTTGTAATAGGCCTGGGTAATTCTCCCGATTATATATTCTCTCCCGCCCAACAAATACACCCATTCTGCTGCAGCTATGACTTACTTCCTGTTCTGTTTTTAGTTTAAAGCTTTTTTGAACATTTACTGTTTTAATGTTACTGTAAGCATATGCATTCATGAGCTTCTTCTGGTGCAGATTAATGCCAATCTATGTGCTAATAGCACTTCCTGCTGGAGAAGGTGCGCCAGAATGCAGCTGCTGCACCATTTAAGGTGGACCAAAAAATCTGAATAAGAAGCTAATTTCAAGATAGTCAGAAAGTGCTAACAAACTATTATAATGCTATAGGGGCGCTATCAGAAGTTAGCATTACAGTTGAGGTGGGTTTTTCCTTGTGTTTTAGAGTTTTGGCATTAATGGCCCAAATTGAAGGCCTAGCTTTAGTCACGGTTCGTCACTGGATAACATTGTATCACACAATGTTAGAAACCTCATAAGCATATGTATTTTAAACTACTTAGCTTAACACAGTTTGCAGAAAATGTGTGATAATTTAGGCATGCAGTGCTAAATGGGGGGGCATTTGTTATTAGCTACGTTAGCCTTATAGCTGCAGTGTAAACTTTAGACACCAAACATTTCTTTGCTTGAATGACAACATTTGGGGTAAGAGAAAAATTGTGTAACACCAAGACCTTTACAGTGCTTCCTTGTTGGTTTATGCTGAAGTTTATCATATGGGGTAACATTGCCCTCTTGTTTCTTCTTGACAGTCGGCCATCCAGGCAGTGGCAGCGGCAGGCATGGAGCTAAAGAACATCGTGGAGTTCTACCAGCAGTGGAAGGAAATGGGCTGAAAGAGGCAGAGGGACAGGGGACCAGCCCGGCGCTCAGCTGATCACACATTCACTCCCTCTCTCTTTCTCTCTCTCTCTCTCCCATTCTATTGCTCTGTCTGTATCTGCGTCTCCAGGATTATTACAAAAAAAATGAAAGTACTTGAGGATGGAGAGATGGAAAGATTGAGGGTACGTACGGAGAAAGGGACGGTCAGAGGCATAGGGGCTTAAACATGAAAGCAGTGGCTCCTCGACCCCAACATAGTAGGAAGAAAACTCCTAAAGGGTTGGAGGAAGGTAGGAAGATACAACACTGGTTTAAGTGTGCCTGGTTTTACTATAGCCAGGTATATACTGATGAAGTGAGTATATACGTGTGGCGAGAGAAATACACATAACAAACACACACACACACACACACAAAACAAACCGATAAGTATAAATATATAGAGCAAGGTTTCCACTTTTGATTTCCTCCTTTTCCTATGTTCTTGTTGAGAGGGAGTTGTGTTTAACTGGTAGGGTGGCAGCAAGGACAGGATAACCACAGAGCAAGAGCACTCATCCCTGACCAGAAGAGCAAGGCCATTAAATATTAGGTCTGTTGCAAAATTCGCAGGGACTCTTGCCTCCTGAGTTCACGAAGGATTCAGATCATTGGATGTACATTTTTTTGGATGGTTTTTCTTTCCTACGTGGCTGCTTTTTTCTTTTTTTTTTTTTTGCTGTGTTCTTTTTGTGACTAATGTATTGTGTTCATCTGTATATGAAAAGGATGGATTATGTAAGGCAGATGGCTGGTTTTATTTGATTTTATTTTTGTATGTTGTATTGTATTATTGCTTTTGTATGCTGTGCTGATCTCACGGGAACGACCTCGGCCTCGTAGAAGCCCAAAAGAAGTTCCGATCATCCTCCATCTCATACTTTCATTAGCTGTTAAAGGTGGGGTGCAGCGCGAGTCATCTGGCCCCGATCATGACTCCAGCCTTTATTGCTAACATACGTGAAGGTAGTTTTGTTCAACTCTAAACATGAACTTCTCGCCCGTTTACCATCACTACCCATAGTAGTTGTTCCGTACTGCACAGTGCTAAGGAAATCAATGTATGTGTGAGGCCATGCATTAAACAATAAAAGAAGAAAGAAATCTCATGGAACAAGTTGTGAAATATCCTCCTTTTTGCCAGTGGTCTGGTACTGCTTGTGTTTCAGTGTTGCTAAGCAGCAGATTCACCACGAGTGGATGGAGGAAAAGCATTTTTTGAGAAATTTTCTCTACCAACAAACTTAAAGTGGACCAACATGATGTTAATAGAACATTAAAAAATATAATGGTCCCCTGTTAAAACATAAGGGACTGGGGTAGCTATTACTAACTCACGCTAATAGCATACAAAAGTCTCCCTTTACTCAAGCCTACCGACCTCGCATTGTCCAGTTAGCTTAACTAGGTCCCTGTGTCCCCATCCCCTCAACACTATTCTAGTCTCGTGCCCTCAACTGTTCTGGGCCCCCTGCCCGGATCTCATCATGGCTCTGGCTCTTATGCCACCCAGTCAAAAGATGGTCAGGCATTGCCCTACTTTTGGGGAGGCAAATTACTCTCATCCTTGTCCCCATGCCCAGATGAACCCAGCGGCTTCAGAGGAACGGACAAAGGAGGATTTAAAAAAAAAAGTGTCACCAGCAGAAAATGTACCCTGACCAACCACTTGTGTTTGTGTCATCACAAGCATGCATAATAGGCGATGTTTAATATTGAAAGTCAAGCATAATTACAAAACATGTCAAATCAAACTGCTTCAATTGTCTTTACCGTTACAAATAAAACTGGGACTTTGTCAGTAATTACCTTCATTACCAATGAACGTATTAACTGTTTTATGCTGAACTAAAGAGGCCTCAGGATTGAGTCCAGAGGCACACCAAGTTTTTGTCCTATAGCTTCTGACACCCATCTGTTTTCTCACACACAGATTTTGATATTTTTAAGATAGTCATATTTATTTGTTCTGCATGAACAACTGAAACTGCACAACTTATCAGTAAGAATGTTATAGCCAGCTTTTATAGCCTGACCGTGCTAACACTCCTCTCCCATTTTCAGAGAAAAAGCACTTGGCAGTCTCAGTAGAATGGCGCTTTCTGAAGAGCAGACTACATAGCGTGTAGTGGAAAATGTTGGAAGAGTGTTTCTTGACCCCACTGTTCTTCTATCTTGGACAGTATATGGAGAGCACTAGGAATGGGCCTGTAATTACTGTAATTATACCTGAAAAGACAGGTATTATTACTGCAGGCTGGAAATACCCATTCCTTAATTTACCTATTAATGACAATTATAGGGGCAATGAATAGCTCCTGATTAGTAATTCCATAAACAACCTAAACATCATTTTCTGAATTATAATAATCAAATTGTTTGGAGTGATTCATATAACAATTATAAAGCATGCAAACTGTACATATTTATTTTTTTAAGTTGATTCATATACTTTTTTAGATTGTGCTACCTCTAATGCATATTGTTATGCATATTGAAATTGTTTTTAAATTAACATGCAGTTCTTGTGAGCAACCTTTGTTGAAGCTGCAGGTGTCTACAGAGTTACTCAGTATAGTTACTCAGACCTCTGTAGTCATTTACTCTGAGTCACTGAGTAGAATAATTTTTAATTGTTTATTTAATTAAACAGAATATTTACAAGCATGTTTATAATGAATGTATAATATAAAATGGTTACAATTACAACATACAATTATTATGTAATTAGTTTTTTATACACTTTGAAATTGTTAACTGATTTGACTTTTTATAAACATTTACGCTAATGACTGAAGGTGCTGGTACAGTTGAGACCAAATGCTAGATTCATTCAGTTTTTAGGATACCTGTAATAATCAGGTTACGGAGTGGAAAGCAAAGAGCATACATCATTTAATTTTCAGTGAGTGAACAAATGATCATTATGACGAATGTGACGTCTTTTTGTAAATGAATGTAAATCTGCCATAACAGTCCTCAGTTTATGTCTGCATCTTTGTCAGCTTGCTGGTGGCACTGAAATGTGGTTCATTTCTCCAGAAGATGTCACTGCATAGAAAAAGCAACACTTTGTAGGGGTCTAAAGGAACTTCTGCTGCATAGAACTTCTATAATAGTTATTGCTATTATATAAGTTACGATTTTTCAGCTCCAATAATATTCAATTATATGGAGTCCCTAAAGTGACATGGTGATTCATTTTAATAAGGCATGACCACAGATTAATATATTGAGGTCACAAATAGCTATACTGAGGCCACAAATTACTATGTTGTGGCCACAACTTGAGGCCACAATTTACTGTATCAAGGCCATGAATTACTGTATTGAAGCCACAAATTGAGGTCACAGATTTCTATATCGAGACCACGAAATGCCAATGAGACCACAAATTACTGTATCGAGGCCATGAAATACTATATTGAGGCCACAAAGTACTAAAGTACTGTACTGAGGCCACAAATTATTATAATGTGGCCACAAATTACTATATCGAGGCCACGAATACTATATTGTGGCCACAAATTACTGGATTAAGGCCACAAAGTACTAAAGTACTGTGTTGAGGCCACAAATTATTATATCGTGGCCACAAATTACTATATCGAAGCCATGAATTCCTTTATTGTGTCCTTGAATCGAGGTCATAAATTATTATATCAAAGCCACAAATTAATATATCGAGGCCACGCCTTATTAAAATAAAATCAGCATGTCACCCCAGGGGCTCCGTGTATTGGTACTGTTTTATAGTAATCTGTGCTCGTTCAGTCTCCTGTAGTAAACCTTTAAGGTTCTAACCGGAGTCCTGTAGAACCCCCGAACCGGTTTTCCAAAGCGGGCTGAAAGCAGAGGTTTCCCGCAGCTTTGTGCTCGTCCCGTCTCCTGACTGAGAAAAACAAAGCTCCTTTCTTGCGCCTGTCCAATGGGGACAGTGAGTGCGGAGGCTGAGGGAGGGCTGGAGCCGCTGTTTTCGTTCCTCCCCGCTGGAATGCCAGCAAACGGGCTGCTGCTGGAGTTTAGCTTAGCCATGAAGCTTTAGCTAGAGCTGCTCATTCACCCCAAACTCAGAAAAGAGCCGGATTTCAAACTGGAGACCCCACCACCCCGACTGAGAGGCACAAATGATCTCATAGACAATATCAGATCGAAAGGTTTGGGCTTTTCATCCATTCTCGCTGTTTCTCAAGTTTTTTGTTATGGCTTAACTGAACTTAAAGTGCCGCTGTTTGACAGTAACGCTGCTCTCACTGCGGCTCTGAAACGGTGGACGGAGCGTCTGTAATGGACTGTAACTCTCCTCTCCTGCGGGGGAGCTTTCAGCTTGTTTTTGCTGTCGAAGGTCTTGGGGAGCCTGTACGATTTAACGTGCACCGCCAAATCCCCGAGATCCGCAAGTGCTGAAGCAACACCTTCAGTGTTGTTCAGTTAAAGGGCAACTCCAACGATTTTTCAAAATTTCTGCATAATTAAATGGTTGAGATGTAAACAAAGTCATTCAGAGTGGTTTGGTGTGAAATGCTTCATTCTGGAGAAACTTACAGAGTCAGGATTGTTCACAATGGTGGTGAAAGGAACCAGACGTCCAATCGCTAAAAGCTCCCCTACAGAAAGTCACTACATGAAATGGTTATGAATGGCCTGATGTCTGAGACACTGTTTTACTGTAGCTGTATGATAGTTTTTGGCCTTAAACGTATTTTAATAATTTTATTTTAATCAGTTCTTGTTGGAAGGACACATCAAGGGTGTTGTCTTACTGGAGAGGTAGAATGACTGAAGAAAAAGTACCTGAGTTGAAGTGCAAAAGTACAAAAGTAACTTACAGAACTGTAGTGGAACTTCTTAGTACATCCAGCATCTATCAGCGTTAGGAGCTGAAGTTTTTTGGGCCCTGTTCTTCTCGTTTTGGGTCATTTTGGTCTAAAATGAAATGCTGAAGCTCCAACGTACAACGTATGCCAAACTGCAAAAGAGTACAGATGAAGTCACCAACACAACATCATAAAATGAACCACAAAAATGAAATTAGTACATAAATGTTAACGACTAAAATGGAACTGACAAAAAGAATTATAAATATAGCTAGCTGAGTCGAAGTAGAAGAATTATGAATTGAAAATGCTTAAAACTCAACAGTTCATTTATGCTCAAGCTCAACTTGAACACTGTGTAAGTGTTAAAGGGGAACTCCACCTGTTTTTCAAAGTTTCTGCACAATTAAACAGTTATAATGTAAACTAAGTGATTCAGAGTGGTTTGAAGGGAAATGCTCTGTTTGAGAGAAACGTACCGAGTGTGAAGTATTCACAGTGGTGGTGATAGGAACCAGACGTCTGAAGACTAACATCTATGCTGCCTGAAACATTGTTCTATGACAGTTTTGAGATGACGTTTTGGTTTAAATGTAGTTTTTGAAAACCATTCATGACAGAGAGGTACATGCAGGGTGTTGTAAAGCAAGGGATTTTTATTTATTATTATCTGCTCATTTTGTTTTTTGATTACCTTTTTACTTTGTATTGTAGAGCACTTTGAGCTGCATTACTGGTCATTTTAGATAATGAATACAATGGTTATATTTGCACTACGGACACTGTGACCTCTGGTTCCTATCACCACCACTGTAAAAAATCTGAGTTGGTAAGATTCTCAACAATGAACATTAATGATTCACACTGAACCATAAGTGATTCTGTTTACATCTCAATGACTGAACTGGGTGGAAAGATTGAAAAATTCAAACTCCTCTTTAATTCCTCATTGTAAGTTTTAATTCAGTACTGCATGTTTGAATTGAATACTATAAAAACTTCAGCGCTGGACTTTAGTACATTTTATGCCAGCAAACTAACTAAAGTACTGTATTGAGTACCTTAGTACTTTTCCTCAGTGAATCTTCTGATACTAATGTTTTTCTATTTTTTTCTCTTTTCTTTTTTAATAATAAAACAACTTTAGGACACACTTGGTCCGTGTGCCACTACTGTAAGCAAAGCTATTAGCAGTTGGCAGCTCATTAACAGCTATTAGTGACAGAAATAACTGCACAGGTTTGGGCCATTTAGTCCAGCTTCAGTCTGGAGAGGAAGGGCGACCATAACAGAGCCTCCTCTCCCCTCCCCTTTTCTTTACAGAGTAAATATAGGCCAGTGCTGGGTAGATCATCTCTGCCTTCGTAGAATCTGCTCTAGTCTAGCTTGAGTTACTGCTGCTGCTCCACTGAACAAGTTATGGATGGAGTTAGCAGAAGTTACTGGCCCTTCCTCCAGCGCATACTGTAACCCACGGGGCGGGCCGAGGGAGGGAGGGGGCTTTTCTGGCACAGATATACAGCCGTAGGGCTTTTTGGCACAAATATATGGCCATAGGGCTGCTGCCCCTAAGCCTCGCTCAGCCGTTCAGCAGAAAAGCCCCTCACTCCTCCCCCCAACCAAGCTTTTTTATCCCGCCTACTGTAACTGCTTTTTCAACAGAAGACATGAAGAAAAGCCCGCAGCACTGTACGTATAGAGGGTTTCGGAGGGTTATTTTGTGGAATGCTTGCTGTATATTAGTGAATTTGACCTCTGAGGGAACTGTATTGTTATGTGCTGGCTTATGTGTTGTATACACCTGAAGAGTTCATTGGCTCATTGGCTGTTTCTTTGGAATGTGATGGAACATTTAGCCCAAAAAGTTTGCACTGATCTTCAGAGAGGTGCTGAATCCCTCTGGATTAAGTGAGAGTATTAATGATACTATTGTTCATGACAGCCTCCATCTGGAGTTACACTGGAGGCTCTTTGCTGTAGCGAAGCCTGCATTGTGCATGTTTTACAGTACAGTGGGAAAAGTAGCATTGGCATGTGTTCAGTTGTTTATTGCTGAAAATATTTTGGCTTTGAGCAGCAGCACATGAACGGTTTCCACATGTTGACGAGGAAAAAAGGGGGTTACGTTTTGCAAAAAGTGAAACTGATGAGTTACATTTGTTAAGGCATGCGTGAGGAACAAGAAGCACTGAATGTTTTCCAGCTAGTTTTCTGTTTAGGGGCTCAATACAGTGACACAGTGCTTTCAGATGAGTGCTCAGGTTTGTGCTTTACATGTTTTTGCTGCATACAGGCCTGTGCAAATGTTTTGTTGCTCTGGGTCAAATGGCATGTTCTGCTTTGTTTTCCAGGGGGTGTAACGATTCATGAAATTCACGATTTGATTCGATACAGTTTTTACGATGCATCAAAAAATAAGCAGTGGCTGAAAACAAGCCTTACTTTAATGTGTTCGTGTTTCCATTTTCAGTTCGATTAGAGCAGCCAGCATTTGTAAAAGTACAGCATTTGAAACAACACTGCACTCTGGCCTTTAAGATAATGTTAGCACCATGCTAACATGCTAGTCTCAATGCCACAATACAATATGATACAATACGGTATGTTGAACTGTTACATGTACACAATTACAATTTATTTTCTAAATTTAACATAGAAAAACACAAAATTTGCAAAACATTTTCAGTTTCTTAAACCCAACAAATAAACAGAAATTGTGTACTAAAGTTTGCGTAAATGTACATATTTAAGTGTGTTGAGGATGTGTGAAATTAGAAAATCAACAAAAAATGCAGTTGGACGGAGGCGCCAAAATTTTTGCACAAGTCTGTACATTACGCATTACATGTAAACACACATTAAAAACGTGTTGCGTGTATTTAGTGCATTCTTTATTTGACATGACACTAGTAGGATAGATATGGTCACTTTTACCCGATTAAAGTCAATTCTCAATTTTAAAAAATCTTCCATTAAAATTTTCCTTTCTGCTTAATTATTTTAAAACCCAATTGCTCAGCTGATCATTGAAATTTCTTGGTAGATTACTTGCTCACTAATTCAGCTGACAGCAACAGGCCTAGATATTGGGGAATGAGTTTCTGTTAACCGGGAGAGACGATGCATGATCAAAGCATGTTTTTCCAACCAAGTGAGTTTTGTTTCAGCTTTAAGGGCGACATGTTTGAGGAACAATGGAAACATTCTGTTGGCTTTTCTCAGAAATCATTTGATCATTTGCATCCACACTTTGCACCACATGCTCCATTACACTTCTCCAGTTGCCTCAGAGTGAGTGATCTTCACAGGAACACAGCCCCTCTGTCGTTTCAGTTTCTTTCGCTTACATCTAACTTCCCGAACTCAAACTTGCGTAAGACACTTTCTATTTCAGCTCTCTGAAAGCAGGCAGCCTGGATTTGTCCTCCTCTGCAGATTGGGGAAGTTGTCAGATTCATTATTAAAGTGGCAGTTTCATAATAGCTTGATTGTGGCTTTTATTTTTTTAGTCCTGGCCTTATTGCCTTGATCATGCTCAATATTTATGATGTTGTTTGTACGGTTATTGAAGTTATGAGTAAATAACTTCATCATGAAGTTATGTATGCTGATTTTACTCTGGAGAAATGCAGGTCTATTGCTAAAATTCTGGTATTCCCTCGATAGCAGTGATTAAATATGGCACTGATCTGATACCAGGTACCGATGTTGGGCTGATATCAACAGAAAATGTTGGATCGGACAACGAATAGACAATATCCAATCCTGTAACAAATCTAGCTCCAAATAGCTGAATTAGTAGTAGTTTAAATCGTTTGAGCATGACTGAGATGTTCATTGAGATGTTCATCTTACAAGGAAATTCTACCAGTTTTCCAAAATTTCTGCATAATTAAAGTGATTTAGGGTGGTTTTAGTTCAGTCCTAGAGAAACTTACGGTGCTACTATTATAAAGAAATCTGAGTTGGTAGTTTCCTCTACAATGAAGAACTTCACATAAAACCACTCTAAAGTACTTTGTTTACATTATCAGTGGTTGAATTATGCAGTTTTGAAAAATCTGTGTAATTCCCCTTTAAGTGAAGTCCTTCAATTATGAATGGCTCATTTTAAAGGTTAGTAGTTTTTAAAGAAAATGTATCAGTTTAATATTGGTATCGACCAGTATTTAAGGTTTCAGTATCGGTATTGGAAAAGAAAAAGTGGTATTGTGCCATCTCTGGTGCAAAAGTGCATAATGATGCTTTGATTTGAAGTTAGTGAACTACATTTTTTTTATTTTGGAATGTTAGAATCCACTTTATAAAACATGTACTTCCAGTCCTAAAATCTGATTGGCTGAGCTGCATTTGAACCTGTTTGAAAGACTTTAGCAGTGTCCCTATTCAGGGGCTGCATCCTTCGAAGGATGGAGCCAGAAACTTTGATTTAAATTATTTTTATGTTTTAATTTATTAGAGCTGGAGATGCTCCTCTCTGTTCGCTCCTTGCTCCCTAAAACTAAATGTTACCATAATTTTTGCTTCAGACCACACTGGCTTTTTTAACCTTTTTATTTTTAGCTATTCGAGTTTAAACCCAATACTTATATTTAAAAGTGGCTCCTCAGCCACCGTTTTCTCCTCTGCTGACACCGCCATGTTCTCGAATCCTTGCCGACACACAATGAACCTCGGGATATGCTGGCTGGTGAAGTATCTCCCCATTGGATCCTTTGTCTCGGCCACATATGAAGGAGCCTTTGAAATGGGACAGCCAAGTCGCACTGCTGTGCAATCAGCCTTTAAATACAGTCACCAAAGGATGCAGCACCTGAATCGGGACACAGCTTGTGTGTGTGTATATATATATATATATATATATATACACACACACACCTATGACAGCCTCACAACAACTTTGTATTAATGCGCCAATTCATTAAAAAACATGCTGTGAGTGCACTGTTACGCTGCCTGCAGAGACCACCTAGTTATTGACATACGATTGATATATGAAGTAAAAACTCGTCAATGTTAAAAATTCATGTGAGATTTTTGCAGGTTCTGCTTCTCACATGTAAAATAGTAAAAGCTAAATGTTGACGAAGACAAAACGTTGACACCATTCAGTTGTTTATTCCACAGCACTGTAGTTACGTTTCCGTATTCAGCCTAGCAGCCTGGTATTTCTGTCCGTGTTTAGTAGGTGTACAAGATAAAATAGCTAATGACAGATACAAGGCAGATGTGCCTAATAAACTGCTTCCTCACTCAGTGAAGGTTCTAGTATTGTATATCAATTTCCTTTACTAACTTTACTACAAAACGTGAGTAAAGACACGCCACAGATATGACTAACAAGTCTGAGGTGACTTAGTGCGGCTAGGCTAACTGTGATAGCTGAAGGAAGAAAACATGTTTTTCTGTTCTCAGTGTTACCTCAACAAGCCAACATGTCTCCACATCATTCATTCACCGAGAAGAACATAATTTACCCCGTAAAGAGGACGACAACAGCCTCTTATCTAACAGCCTCTTATTTATGCAGAAACAGTTAGCTCTTGCATTAGCATGTGCTAATTTAAGGTCATGTTGACATCAAAATTTCATGTTCTCGTCACATTAAGCACAGTCCATTGTGGTGCATATCATTCAGAAGACACAATTCTTGTTTCTCCATGTTTAAGTATGCATAAAAAAAATACTAACAATATCTTAGCATCAGCCCATAACCCTCTCCAGTCATCCAGCAAAAACACCCGTCATCACCTTCACTCCCGGCTGCACATACATGTATATCAGCAGACAACCTCCTTTCTTCTCTCTACTTCACTCTCTCGCTTTCAGTGTTTGGACCAGTTGAGTTATTTCAGCTCATTTGCGCTGAAAACCTGTGTTCATGTTAACAGGATGAGAGAAATCAGATATCTGGCAGTATTTGCGCTGTTTTCTAACGTTTTCTGCCATGTTAAGAGACTGAGAGGCTGTGAGGACGTCAGCTAAAAATGGAGTGATATGCACACACAGAGTCCATCTCCTGCTCAAACGTTAGGAAATTACACTCATTCACAGACTCATTTAACCTGACGTCCTTTTTCTGAAGTCTTTTTACATTATTTGTGCTGTGAAAGTGTAAAAACGTGAACAAGGCTAACAAGCTAGTCTGCTAATCAGCGTTTCACCTCATCTTCGTCTCAAATACATATTAAAACCAAACGTTCAACAAGTAATGAATCATGTTTCAGAAACAAACACCAAAATAGTGTACTTAATTTTTTTGTAGTATACAACTTTTTTCCTTTTTTTGTTCTTAGCTTTTCTGTATAACTGACTGTCAGAGTCTGACTCCACTTAACACAGCATGCGTGGCTGTATTGCTACACAGGCTGGTGTCAACTCTGCTCACGCCAGGTTAACCTTAATGCGTCAGCTATTTCTGTTACACTTGGTTTGTTTAAACTGAGGCGCTAACAACGTATTTCTTATGTGCTAGGCTAAAAGATAGCTAACAGGCTAAAAGACAGCAGACTAAACAGGCTAAAAGATAGCTAACAGGCTAATGCGCTACTCCATTAATATGCAGTGTTGGGCTTTTTTGACTGAAGTATTTACTATGATTCAAGGTAAAGCTGCAGAATAAAAAGTAAATAATATGTTACATGAATAAGAATATTAAATCCAGTGTGGTGGCACTGTTAGCTTGATGC